AGATACTTTTCCATGCTTGTCCTACCATCATTTTAAAGATAAGGAAACTGAAGCACAGAGGGGTTAATAACTCAGGAAATATGCAACAGAGTGGAGGTTGTTGGGATGTTTCACAGCTTCCTCTCTTAATCACTCACTATTAACGACACTCTCGACTTTTATTCTGTTCTCCTAGTCACCTTCCTGTAGGGAACCAACAGCAGTTTGCAGCCATAGGGCAGGGCAGGAATCCAAGACTGAGTCAGAGAAACTGAGGTCCACTTCCAAACAATCCCCAAGGAATGACTTTCTTTCTGTTTTGTAATATGTTGACATGGAACTTTCTACCTAGAAGGTGGGGGCAATGGGTTCTAAGGGTGTGAAGAGTCAGCTTTGTAGTGGCACCTCTTGACCTAGACAGTATCTCTCATGCCACCTTTTTATGCCCATTTCTCGCATGGAGAAATCCTCAGTCTTTTAAAGCTTGGTCTTGTTGTGTGTGTCCATTCTCTTCATAACACTGTATTTTTCTGGATGACAGGGAATAGTGAATATATCTAAGGTTTGGTGGACCAAAAGACATGATCCAGAAATCTCCCTCTATTCTTTGTGGGGAAGGCTTCTGGAACTCAATCCCGTCCTTCCTTCATTTGGGAATAGATGAATCTTCAAAAGTGCTATAATATCTTTTTTAAAAATGTTAGTGATATCTCTTTATAAGGCTTTTATTTTAAGGAAAAATTTGGCACATGAAACTTTAAGAATATTTTTTATGACCTTGAGAATAATTTTTATTACATAAGATTCCTCTTTTAACATCCTTGATAACTGTTCTATCATTTGTTTAAAGAAGTTTGTGGAGCACTTAGGTGGCTCAGTCAGTTAAGCATCTGCCTTCTGCTCAAGTCATGATCTCAGGGTCCTGGGACTGAGCCCCATATCAGGCTCCCCGCTCAGAGGGGAGTCTGCTACTCCCTCCCCGTATTCCAGCACTCTCTCTCACTTGCGCGCTCTCTCCCCCCCAAAATATATAAATAAAATCTTAAAGAAAAAAGTTTGTGTCTGTTAAGTTCATGTTTCTGATGGAAAGATGAGTTTATCTGAATTTTAGAGAACATAGTCACTGGACATAGAAGTCATAAGTTAAAAAATAAAGCTTTGCTAATAAAGTTTGAAAGAAGATTTATTCCTTGGCATTCACGAGTAAGTGAAGTTGGCCTGGAAATCATTGAACAATCAAATTAAGATTAGTTCTGTAGATGATCAGAATGGGACAAGTAAATGCTCAAATTTGGACAGAGTCCACCCACCCTGAGACTGATAACACATGGTATTCATAGATCACTCTCTCAGACAATTGCTTAAAATCAGCCACAGCCAATATCACATCAACTGCAGATGAAAATGTGAGGAGTCATCATATTTTGGGATGAATTCAATGGGATAGAGTGACTGAGTTTTGAATTTGATTAATTACTTTACATTATCCCTTCAGAAAGACCTCTACTTTTAATGGAAACCTAGAAAAAATATAATTTGTATAAATGATCAGGCTAAAATAGACAGTGAATCTTCCCATTCGAAGAGCTACAGAATTTCCTAGGTAATAATGTCAACTTATGTTTGAATTGGTGAAGGTAAGAATAAGGGAAGAGGAATTAAATGTAACCATTTATTGTACTCTGTACCATCTTTAAAAATATATATATATTATTTATTTATTTGTGAGAGACATAGGGAGGGAGAGAGAGAGAGGCAGAGACACAGGCAGAGGGAGAAGCAGGCTCCATGCAGGGAACCCCACGTGGGACTCGATCCTTGGTCTCCAGGATAAGGCCCTGGGCTGAAGGCAGCACTAAACCGCTGAGCCACCTGGGCTGCTCACCCTGTACCATCTTTACATGATTGGGTACTGTTTTGTTGGAATTTTGTGCTGATCCCCATCAATTGGTATCATCATCCTTCTCAAAACCACATCCCTCCCACAACCTTGTCCTTCTGCTGGGAGCCCTAGGACACATAGAGGAGATGTGGAACCCTGGTCAAGGCCCACATCACAGTCTTCTTTCACTTGGAACTTCAGTCCAGTGCCCCTGTGAGTCCTTGCAAAGGCATTCCTGATTTCAGATTTTCCTCTCTCACATCAGCCTGCCACCATTACCTCCTGTTGACTCCCCGGGAATAAATATAAACATTTTTTTCCAAGCCTGAAGCCCCCTGAGTACACATTTACAACCTAGGACTCAAACAGTTTTGCTTTTAACTTTACTATGTACTACATCCAGAACAGCTAGGTTGTAATTTTGGCTGTCAGTGGATGCTTCTAATTTGTGGCTTCTATTTATTTTTGTTAGTGAATTAATTGCTGGCTCTATTAATCCTGCAAAATCCATGAATCCTTAATGTTCAGTTTGCTTAGAATGAGTAACAGTGTATTTGTTCCTTCTCAAATATGACTTCTTGCTGAGCCTCGGATGAGCTCCTTCTCGATAGCGTGCCTTCTATCTTGGATGATTTATTCACTTTCATGTTCCCTGAAATTTATTGCAAAAGGTTGACGTGAATTCTTACAGTTTGGGCTCTAATATAATCTCCTGGATGGCAATTAATAATAATAATAAAAAAAAGATGGTTGCTATTGTTTACAGAGGAACTAAGCTTTCTCAGATTGTGTTCTTTATCTTCTGGTTTTCACCAAACTTCATGTCAGACATCCCTAGGGGTTGATGGTGTAAAATATTTTCTGTAAAACTCCAAAGCTTTTATTGTTGCTTCAATAACCCCAAACCTCTATGTTGCCTTTTGTTTTCTTGTCAGAAATGATCTTATTCAATTTGTTTCTTCAAATTCTCTTCCTTCCTGAGAACATTAGAAATATGCCTCTTTCTGGATTTAGTAGTAACATACTCTCAGTGGTTATGACTTACAAGTAGCATCTGAAATTTGTCCCTGAAGATTCTCGTAATCTTTTTTCCCACTTCATCTCATCTCTGTTGTGTTGATCGAAGATACACTATTGCCTGTGAAATGCAGTGTTTATTGTCATCATGTATATTGTTCAAAGTGCAGAACTGCCTCCTGTAAATTAATGATGAAACTAGAATTATTGCAGCATCTGATCTCTGTAGTTTGCCTGTTTGGCTAATCTTACCAGGACCAATCTAGACTAATGCTCTTCTTCTAGAGATGAGGACTCTGTGGGTCCATTCAAGTAGCTTGACTCTAACCAAGGAGAAGACAGAGGGCAAGTTTATCTTTATTTAGTCCAGAGCAGAAATGCTACAGTGAGGCGGCCCAAGGACGTTCCTACTTCTGACACAGACTGTGTGTCATTCTATGCCAGTTCCGCCTCTGCTCTGTGGGTGAGTTCCCTCATCTATAAAACGGGACTAACAATAATAGCAGTAGCACAACTGTCAGGATGGTAGGTAATACAGGTAAAGCTCGTGGAACAGGACAAAGTATGCCATGCGATGTTAGCTACTAGCACTATTGTCATTATTCTGATTATTAGTCCTTGGTTGTACTTCAGTATTTCTTGTATTACTGTTGTGTTAAGCAGCCGGTGGTGGTATTCATGGCAGTGGCAGTAGTAGAGGCAAAAATAGTGATGATAGTAAGAAAAGACAGTGTTAGTAAGTAAACTAACACTGATGACAGTAGATAGTAGATGAAAGGCAGATGATTATAAGAAAAGAAATGCCCTGCTCTGTGTGAGGCATTGAGTAAGATACGTTATTTAGATCATCCTTAGTACATACTCAGTCTATATCTACTGAAAAACTACAGAATCATTTATTCCCAGAAATGCAGATGTAGCCTCTGCATGGTAAGGATCTTTTCCACAACTGCAGAGGATCATGAGATTTAGCCCTGGTGGAAAAGGCCCCTGATAGAATTCCTTCCATCTTTAAAATAATCTTTGTGCTGCTGGTATTTAGCTGCATGACCCTGCTGTAGACAACGGAAGTCTGGCTGTAGCTGGGAATGGAGGGAGGTCACAGCACAGGGGAAGGGGCAGCTACACAGCCAAACAGCGCCAATGAAAAATATTACATATCAGAAAACAGATTACTAAAATTCATTTAGGTTTTATTTTTTTTTCTTTTTGGAACTGTATATTACATTTAAAAATTACCCCTTTTCCAGATACCCAAATAGAAATACAACTGGAAACAATAAGCATTGACACAGAAAAGTTTTCTTTCTTCCTTTGCTTTATTTATTTATTGACTGAATAAATTGTATTCATGATACATTAATAGCCATTAGAGTAAAGTGTTTAATCATAAAAATTATAGTCACTTCAGTGTTTGTTGATTTCTAGGCATAGTATGCTACTCAATAATCACAAAAATAGTCACGGAAATAGTAAAAGCTACAATGTAGGGGTCCCTGGATGGCTCAGTGTATTAAGCATCTGATTCTTGATTTCAGCTCGGGTCATGATCTCAGGGTTATGAGGTCGAGCCCTGCATTGGGCTCCACACTCAGAGGGAAGTCCGCCTAAGATTCTCTCTCTCCCTCTACCCCTCCCCGGCCCCCAGCTCTCACTCATTCTCTCTGAAAAAATAAATATTAAAAAAAAAAAAAGCTACAATGTGGAGAGCACTTGGGATGGGGTGCTATGATGGGTGCATCTTTGAGGCCCTGCATGCATGCGTGTGTATGCGTGCACACACATATACAGTCTCATACATGAAATCTCTATAAACTGCTAGGAACTTGCAAATACCTATGTACCTGTGTGTATGCACACTTAGGCCTATTTATCTAATATATATTGTTATTTTACATCTTACCACAACTTTACAAATAAAGGAAACCAGGGCTCCAAGTACTCACACCACTTTTTCAAAGTCACAAAAAGTTGGCAAAGCTAGGGTTGAACCCAAACCCCACGCACTCGACACCCCCTTTTTAAAGACACCCAAACAAATATCTCTGGAGCAACAGACTTTTCCAGTCTGCGACAGTACCCCATTAGGAAAAAGTTGACTTTTTTGGCCTTTGTCTTCCAGAATCTCCAAGCAAAGATTTCGGTCCAACTCTGGGTTTGAAAAAGTCCAGTTCCTTGGAGAGCCTCCAGACTGCGGTGGCTGAGGTTAGGAAGAACGAGCTTCCCTTCCACCGGCCCCGGCCGCACATGGTTCGAGGCCGGGGCTGCAACGAGAGTTTCCGAGCAGCCATCGACAAGTCCTACGACGGACCCGAAGAGCTAGAAGCTGGTAGGACAAAGCACTTCCTTACCCCCCTTTCTTCATCTCGTTATTATCCGCGAGTCCGAGGCAAGGATGTGTGCTTAACTACAAAGAAAAAATGATTTAAGGATCGCAATTACATTTTTGATATTAAAAGTAATTCATTCTCCTGATATGTTTTGCCCTTTGGCTTAACGAGCACGGAATTGGGTAACACAATGCGCAATTTATTTTACAGTGCAAATGCTAAAGAAGGGCTCTCCCTCACTTTCCTACAAGGACCGACTGTCATTTCCCCTTAGGGTAGGAGCACTAAGTATGCATTTCTCGACATTCTTACTGGAGTCATTAGAAGCAGCCCCAACCTGACGACTGCCTGCATTAATTGGGTAGAAGCAGCCGGGTTACCTTTGTGCTCCGAAGCCTCTCCTGGAAATAAGCTCGCCCCGTGTTTGCCGGCAGACGGGCTTTCCCAGCTGATCGAGGTTAACACGCTGCCTTCCAGAGGTGGTAGTGTTTTACCACGTACGTAGCCAACCTTTCCGATGGTTACCGCGGTCAAACCACCGGTGGTTCACCGACGCCCAACCCCAGGCCTTGCTTGAAGTAACCAGGTTGGGGCAGTCGTCTCTTCAAAGGGTACAAGTAGCCACCTGGCACGGTACAGCTCGGGAGTGCTTTCTTCGTTCTTCTGTGTTTTGCATTTTAACTTTTCTTCATATAGTAGCAGTAGGTGCCCCTGACCACATGTATTGATTTTTCTCTCCGCACAGACGGTCTGTCTGATAAGAGCTCCGTGTCGGGCCGAGGAGCTCTGCACTGCGAGTCCACCCCTCCGGGGAGCTGCGAGCAGGAGGACGTGGCAAGTAAAGCCAGCAGAATCAAAAAACCAAAAGAGAAGGAGAAGAAGAAGAAGAAGGAGAAGAGCAAATTGAAAGCCAAGGAGAAAAAGCTGAAAGAGGACAATGAAGACCCAGAGAGGAAAATCAAGAAAAAAGGATTCGGTGCCATGCTGAGGTAGGGGCTGGCCGGGCAGGCACGGCAGGCATGTGTGGCTTTCCGGTCTCCCCTGGGGAAGTCCCTCGTTTGGGCGCACCCAGGAAGAAAATGGCAAGCTCTCCCTCCTTTTTAGCTAAATGTGCAAAAATCTCAGTTATGAGCGGGCTTGTTCCTTTCCTGCAGAAGCAGAAGGGGCCTTCCTGGGTGGCTCTCGAGGCCCCTGGTGAGGACGGGAGGCTCTGATACATTTGCTGTGAAAGAAAGGCTCACGCCCGGTAGACACATGGGCACCGCTCGCAGCCCTTGGTACCGAAGTGTCATGCGGGTAAATTAAGTGCATCCTCCACCTGTCTGGGGAAAGCAAGAAGTGAGGGAGTCCCCAGCCGTTGCTTGTACAACACCCCATTTGATTTGGAGAAGACAGGACAGGTGGACCTCATGGTGCGCGCGGGCCAGGCCTGGAGCACGTAAGCCAGCAGCTGCAGGAGCCGGTCAGCACGGGTCACGGACTCTGGAGTCAGACGGCCCAGTTCTCAGTCCATGGCCCTCCACCCGTGGGCTGCTGGGCTTCCTGTGTTCCTTATCTTCCCTGAGCCTTACTTGCTTCACTTTCAAAGTGAGGCGAGGGTACCGCTCTCCTGACCCAGGGGGGCTGTGGGACAAGGTTTCCCCAGCCCCTGGGCCTGTCCCAGCAGGGCACCCTCAGAAAGCAGCTTTGTCTCTTCTGCGGCTGCTTCTACGTTTGCTTTGTTGATGTCGATTTGATGACCTCGCTCCAGCTGATGGCTTTCTGGTCACTTTGGGTACTAAAACCACCTCTGCGCCAGGGCCCAACACCTATCTAATGTTAATCAGAACTTCCCCTCCCTACCCCTCAAGCCCGAGGAGGGCCCTGCGATGTGGTGGCAGGACTCCACCTTCTGCTTCTCAGGCTCTGGACCCAGAGGGAAGGGAGGGAATTATTAAAACAGGGGTGGAGGGACCCCTGGGTGACTCAGTGGTGGGCGTCTGCCTTTGGCTCAGGTCGAGATTCCGGGGTCCTGGGATCGAGTCCCACATCGGGCTCCCTGCAGGGAGCCTGCTTCTCCCTCTGTCTGTGTCTCTGCCCCTCTCTCTCTGTGTGTCTCTCGTGAATAAATAAATAATTTTTTTAAAGATTTTTATTTGTTTATGAGAGACACAGAGAGAGAGAGAGAGAGAGAGAGGCAGAGACACAGGCAGAGGGAGAAGCAGGCTCCATACAGGGAGCCCGATGTGGGACTCAATCCCGGGTCTCCAGGATCAGGCCCTGGGCTGAAGGTGGCACTTAACCGCTGAGCCACCTGGGCTGCCCTAAATAAAATATTTTTTAAAACTTAAAAAATAAAAAAAATAGAAGAAGGGAAGAGCTGTACTTAACTGGTGTCTGGATCAGATATAATCTGGCTGTCAAGAGTCTTTGTGGGCCACTTAGCTCCTTACTTCCCCACTGACTTCCTGAGTCCCTCTGACCCTTAGCCTCTGACCCCAGACAGCATACCCTACGGTCTTCTCCCCCCTTCCCGCTGATGGATTGTGGTGTCAGTTGGAGGTGGCAGTGGCCTAACCTCCTTCTGCAGCATCTCCTTGGCTCCCTGGAATGGCTGACCTCTTGCCCTTCCAAATGATAGAAACACAGCTCGTTCCCATTGCTCCCCTCTCTCCTCTTCCTGCCATAGGGATGCCCAGCCAGCCTGGCATGTTCAGGCTTCTCCGGGGCAGGGTTGAGCTCCGTTTTGTGCCTCCCAGGCTCTAGAGCCACGTGCCAGACCCTCCCAAGCTTGCATGCATGGGGAAGGGAGAGAGCCAGTAAAGGTTTGCAAGTCTCAAGCAAACAGGGAGGATGACCATCCCCTTTCATACAGTTGCCCTCATTCTCTCAGCGGTAATCTTGCAGCCTCCTCACTTACTTTGTTGGGAGCACAAAGAGGAAACACCCCTTTCTGTTACTTTCTTTACTTCTAGAATTTTCTATCACAGAAAATCTCTCTCTCAATCTCTACCCTTCTTTTCCATGAGATGAAGGTAAGGGATGGGAGGTGATGTTGGTACCTCTTAGTCAACTCTTAGGAGACATCTCTTTTAAGAGTACTGGGTAGCATTTGTCATCAGAGATTTTTAGTTTAGGATTTTCTTTTCTTTTTTTTAGATTTTATTTATTTATTTTAAAAAGAGAGAGAAAGCATGCAAGTATGACTGGGGGAAGGGGCCAAGAGGGAGGGAGTGTCAAGCAGACTCCACACTGAGCATGGAGCCTGAAGCAGGGCTCATGACCTGAGCCAACACCAAGAGATGGACACTTAACCGACTGAGCCACCCAGGTGATTCAAGTTTGGGACTTTCAACTAAAATTTCAGGCAGAAAGAGAAAGTTCTATTCCATATCTGTTATTCATAATAATATATAAATACAAATATAATCTGTTATTGTATATAAATTTGAAGAGAGAGAGAGAGAGAGACTGAATTTGAAGCCACAAAATCATATTTGGGCATCACAGCTAATGTTGATACCAGTAGGACAAATCTCTCAGTAGACATTGATTTGTTTTTCCTCGTGGTCTCTATAGACACTGTCTTTCCTTTTGACATTCTGAATGTTAAACTTGCCCTTTTTCCAGGTAATTATTATGATTGCCAGAATTTGTGGGCTATGCTTTAAGCATCCTGATAACAATGGCAAACACAATGCAAATATATAGATGAGAATTGCCTTTGAATTTATGGAGGTCAGAGGTTAACAGTGCAGGCTCTGCCTGCGGAATGCTAAATTCAATCCCAGCTCTTCTGCTTATCTATCCAGGTAGCATTCAGCATACTATTAATTCTGTGCCTCAGTTTCCTCATCTGAAAATGGGAATAAGAATATACCATTATTATGAGAATTATGTTTGTTTAGTTACATGCAATGTGCTTATAGAACAGTGCCTGGCAAGAAATACACATTCGATAGATGTTAATTATTCTAGTCAGCAGAATAGTGGCCCCCAAAGATGTCTATATCTCAATCCCTGGGGCCTGTGAGTATGTCCTGGTGGCATGACAAAAGAGAATTATGGTGCAGATGGAATTAAAGTTGCTGATAGAATGACCTTAATATAAAGGTGAATACCCTGGATTTCCTTCAATGGCCCAAGGTAATTACGAGAAGCCTTAAAAGTAGGAGAGAAGTGACTGTGGAAGAAAGGTACAGAGGATGCAGTGTTGCCCGCTCTGAGATGGAGGGAAGTGGCCATGAGCCAAGGAATGAGGGCAGCCTCTAGAAGTTAGAAAGGACAGAGAAGTGGATTCTCTCTGGAGAGCCTCTAGAAAGGGATGCAGCCTGCCGAATCCTTAACTTCAGCGCATTTCTATTGTTTAAGCCACTAAGTTTACAATAATTTTTTTACAGCATCAATAGAAAACCAACATCTTTGTTATTAGTAGTACTTCTACAATATCGTAGTAATTTATAAGGAAACAATTTCCTCCTTAAGGTGTTAAAGAAAAAGCCATATTTAACTAGAGTAGTCTATAACTATAAAAACTATTAGAACTCACCCATTTTCTAGAATGTTACTAAATTAAGTCTTAACTCTGTATTTTGTTTCTGATGACTTGATTTGGCAGGTTCCTACTCCGTTGCCCATAATACAGAGCGAACTATTCCTTTCGTTGTCCAATATATGCTGTATTTGCCGGTGTTGGAAATCACAGGTTCTAGATCCTTTACACATCTAGCAACTCCGTTTTGTTCCCTTCTACTGTTTTAGCAAAATTAAGATCTGAAAGGTGGTGTTTGATTTTATCTCCAGTGTAAAAATAGCAACTGTTTTCCATAGCCTTTTGCATCGGAGTTTGTGAGCATATTGGAGTTGCTGCTACATGCGCATTTTCAACAACAAAGAACACAAAAGCTGTTACCATTAGCCAACAGATTTTGCTTTAATTCTCATCTGTTGCTCAGATGCTATTGACTTAGTTTCTTTCTTATTTAAAAAAGATTGATTGCCTTAAGGTTCTCTAGGAGGTAGATGTATGGCTTAAATATGTATTATTTTTTTTCCATTATCTGCATTTCACAGCCGCTCTGCTGACAAGGAGCTTTATGCAGGGTGTGCACTTGTGTGGTGGACAGTGGGCCCCGGGCCGAGGGCACAAAATCATCTCCCTCTCCTCACCAAGCCATGCATCATGAAAGTGTGAATGTTAGTAGTGCCTTTGCTCTTGTGCTTGTGAAAAGCTAAGTGTTTTGTGCTTTTCTAATATTAGCTGGTCCATTCATGTTAATGATATGTAGTCATACAGTTAAGCTCATTAGTTAATTTGACCTACTCCTGATCCTTTTGAAAAAATTATGGGGATCTCGTTAATTCTTATCTTTAAATGTGCGGCTTGCTTCCAGTAGGCTTAATGCTTTGCTGATTTCGGAATTACCTCCTCATAGATTCAACTGTGTCTCTTACACAGGCCATGAATTATTATGGAAAAATATGCAGACCAAGAACTTAGCAACTTTGTTAGTTTCCCTGAATCCTCTGTTTACCTGCTGTGGAAAGAAGACGTTAGGGGATCAAGATGCTCATTTTTTTCTGTGTTTGGTTTCCTTGGGGCACTGTACTCTTCATGGCACTGGCCTGTAGAATGAATGCCCCCCCCCCCCCCCCCCCGTGGCTCCTTGCAGACAAAGGGTGGAGCTCAGCCCCCCAGTAGGCTAGCTGATTGCTCTTAGCCCTAGGCCGGTTTCCTGGGGTATAGCAGATCTTTCCTAAGCACTGAAGAGAAATATCCTCTGGCTAACCAAACCTTGCCCTGTCTACAACAGAAAGTCCAGTATTCAGTCGCTGATTTCTTAGTTATTTGTGGATCTTTACATTCTTTAAAATGAATTCTGTCCCAGGTCTGTGTTGAAAATCCATTCATTTATATCACACTTACTGTAGTTTCCTTTTGATATTATAGATCACTCACTTCAAAGACCTTCAAATTAACAACTTGTGCTGGACGCTGAATGGAAAACCT